TCCATATAAGGAAGTTATCAAAGGTCAAACGTTCGATACAATTTTGGGACACTTTGTATATTGTATTCTTGCTTGCGATAATTTTTTTCAGCACATACTCTCAATTAGAAAAAGTTGCTCAAAAAGCTTTCATTACTAAGATCCCCAATTTATCGCAGCTTTTATAATAGATTTCTGGACACCATTTAGCCTCTCCAGCCTGAGAATTCACTTTCATGTTATTTTGTTATTCCTTTTCTGACTTTCGCTGCCTCTTAGTAAACGGCAAAAGAATGAGATTCGAATCTGTTGAAAAAGTGCAGCTTTAAATTAGAAGCTTTATATACTTTTAAAGAAAAGGGTTTCTCGACTTTGCTAGTAATTCCTAAGCGTTCGTTATGGTTCACTGCAAACCATGCCTGTTCTTGAACGCATGAGCAATAGTCCAAAAAATATGCTAGAATTTTTCTTCTAAAAACTATAATCAACGCTAAGGGTTGCTGCAGATACCTCAAACACTTTTTATGGAATATTGTGAACATTGAGTCAGGTTGTTCATTCTTACTATTCAACAGACGCTTAGGACTCAAGACACAAGGTTTCGGGTCCGTTTTGCATTACTTTTATCAAAACAGAAAAATCTATCACAAACCAGAACTGAGAAAAAGATACAGAACAGGGCTCGGCATGGTGGCTTTCCGAAAATGCAAGAAAAAACGAAGTCCCCCTTGACTTTGGTCAAATTTTACGAAGTCTCCTTTGAACCTAATATCCTAAACGTAAAAAATTCGTCAAAAAACGAAACGTCAACTGAAAAAACGTCGCAACTTTTGTGTCCTTTCGGCCTCAAAAACAATATCCCCTTTGCTTTTTGTCTCAAAAGAACAATATCCAGCTCGCTTTTGAGCCACCTGTGCTGAGCCCTGATATAGGACTGATAACTTCCATATAGTGGAACAACGTAAGTACTTACCGGTGCAATTTGGAGCTTGGTAAAATGTAGCTGTGCTGCCCTGGATCCACATGGCTTCAGCTTAGCGAAAGAGGTGAAGAAAACTGAAAGATGGTATCTGATCGGATTAGCGGAAGATCGATAAGCATTCCAATTATCTTGCTTTTTGCTGAGAGAAATGATGAAGAAAAAACCTCAGAAAAGGAAGGACAGGAAAATTTCAGTTTGAATGTTGAATCAGTCTTAAGTTGAATCATTTCCAAAAAGTGCTATCTGCGCAGTATTCTGTGATCTGCTATAGTAGATACAGCGGTTCGGTAAAAGAGCATAATTTATTGAATGACTCGGCATTTCTTTGGTCTAGGTTACAATTAATGTTGCTTCACTATCAACGGAGAAAACTGAAATTTTCAGGTGATTAGTGCTTACGTCGTGCGTAACGATGCTTCTAGCATCGCGAAATATTCGCAAAACTGCGGAGACGCCGAAAAAAACTGCTTAAGTGTAGCAGCAAGGTTATGCGCACGAGCTAGGGGTATATATTGGGATGATGCGAACTGGGAGAACATCACCGACATGGACGTTGAATGGCAACATCGTTGCAAAGCTTATCGCTTTGTGGCCTACTCGGCCGTCGCCTTTTCGGTGGTCGCCATCCTTGGCGCTGCTACTACCCTCCCTATGGTATACAACTATGTGCACCATGTCCGACGGACGATGCACACCGAACTCAACTTCTGCAGGGTAAGCATTCGCTTTCGTAGACCTCCTTCTCTCTAATTAATTGCTGTTCAGGCATCTGCTCAAGACATCTGGTCAGAAGTCAATGGCATGAAGATTACTGGCAACCGCACTGCCCGTCACGCATTCCGTAAAGCAAGCCGTGCTGGCCGACAGACATACGGAGGAGAAGATGAAGGAGTAACCGGGGGAGGAGGCACAGGAATCGGTGGAGGACGTACCGGTGGTGGTGGCGGTGGTGGTGGTAGCACCGATTACGGAGGCAATGACTGTACCGCTTGCTGTTCCGGTGGAGCAGCTGGGCCACCAGGAGTTCCAGGAAACCCAGGACGGCCCGGTAACCCAGGAGCACCAGGAGCACCCGGAAACCCAG